GGCGCCGCCCCGGTGGGATGAAGGCTAGGGGAGCAGGGACGCTCCTGCCCGCGGCTGGTCAGTTGTGCCGAACGGGTACTACTGACGTTTTGTTACGGTGTAAAGATGCAGTGTGACGGTAAGCATGTGTGCTTGGTTTGTGGAGATCTCCCGCCTCGCGCCCTGCCCCCATACAAACCACGTCTCCAAACACACTCCGTGTGCTTCGGGAGCTGTTTGCGATGTCAGGTAACAAAGAGAAGCAGGAAGCGGTAAAAGTTGAGCACAGGGAGTTGCAAGAAATGCAATTGCCAAAATAACTTTAAAAAATGAGTATTTATTGAATTATTACTTTAAGCTAATGCCGTTTTCTCACCCGTAACCACAGCACCTAGGTGGCAGCATGTAACTAAGATTTTCTCTCCTTCATAACTGTTATGATGGATCCCAAACAAATACAGGGGATCCAGTCACAGGGGAGAAATCACCAGCCAGGACGCTGACCGTGAACATCACCAAAGTACATAATACTACATGATTCTGGTAAGGCTGCTGGGTGTAAAGTATGCCTCATTTAAACCTGATAGTCCAAAGGAAAACCCAGCCCTTAATTTTTCCAGAGAGAACAGATCTTACACAGAGCACAACTGTCCACTCCAGAGAGTTTCTCTGGGCTCGCTTTGCTCCAAGAACGGGGTCAACATGGTGGCATCCAATTACCCAAGCCCTGCCCCACCCACTTCTACCACTTTTCTCACCTTTATTTTCCTTTCTACATGAAAGGAATTTAATAAATAATTTAATAAAATTTTCCTTTCTATGTGAAACTAAAGACATTTAAGCTTATTTAAACCAGTATTTAAAATTCATTAATGTCACCTACTTTATAAAATTAATTAAAATGAATAAAGCTTAAGAGAAGAACACCTCTCATAATTAGGTAAAAAAGAAGTTTGCATGTTTCTATAAATTCTGTGCTAGATATAGCTATATCTATGTATTTATGGGATGAGAACACTCATCATTTTAATTTAGTTCACAATCTTCTACAAAATCTCCCAAATTAGTGTAATTCTTTCTGAAGCTTTGGTTATTCTTTGCCCTGTTCATGAAAAAACTGTTTTCCCACAATGCTGGGGGGGAGGTTTAAACTATAGGAGACCATGTCTAACTGAGAGGATACAAGCAGGGAGAGATAAGGCAGAAGATGATCATAAACTTACCCTACTTCTTCTTTCCAAGTGGTGTTACTGCTGCAGCTCTCTTTAAAACAAACAAACAAGACCACACCAGTTTCAACAGCAGGCAAGGGAACAAGTAAATGTCAAAAAACCCACCCCCCAATGACTCTCAGGTGTTGGCGCAGGAAGAAGGCGCCTTTTAACAACACTGGCACAGCACTGACTGCCAGTCCTCAAGGCCTGGAGGTGATGAAGATGCAGAAGGTACTTTTGCTGTCCCTTCTCCTCGGTGAACAGCTGTATGCCTCACTGGAAATAAGTGGAATTTTCTTTCTTACCAACTGAAATAACAAAATCGAGTGCCCTCACCTGGCATCTGGAAATGACAGCAAATAACCTTCGGACGTAAACTTTCATCTTTGCTTGCAAGATGCCCTCAATTTGGAACAGCAACACCCTAAAATGAGAACATAAGTATACCTTGATTCAGCCTCCAGGACAGCAAGGCATTCAGACAGAAAAGCGAGAGCAGAAATGCTTGGGAAAACACACATATATCAGAGACCAACAAGTCGGTTCACAACGTTCTGTTTAAAATGAAGAGGTGGTTTGTATTCACGTGTAAGCAGTATGTGTGAGCAGTGTATCTTTCGCAGAAGGGACAGAACACAGCACTAATAGCCAGTAAGATCCCAAAGAGAAAATATTTTGAGGTTTCCAGTCCTTAGTGCCTTGTTGTTTATTTCCCATACATTTCAGATTTGCTGCAGTGTGTGTAAAATGCAAAGAAGAAAAAAATGCAACCAGAGAATTCTTTTATCCTCGATACCTTATGGCAGTTTGTGCTCAGAAACTCTTTTTGACACCCTGATTGTTTCTCCCAGCAGAAGTGAGGCCACAGGGACAGTTCAGTAAAGACAGTGTGTGTGTGCAGATTTCCAAAGGTAAGTAGCCTTTCAGCATCAGCAGTCACCCCATGCAGAGAACAGGAGGGAGAAAATACACCAGAAACTCCACAGAAACACCCGATATACCATTGCCCTGCTCCTTCTGTCCAATCGAATACTTACAGATGGAAAACAATCATTTCCCCCAATTCAAATACAACTGCTGGTCTGACCTCTTCTTGAGAGCTCCCCAAGAACTGTGGGCTCCTGTGCTAAAGCTTGGTCGTCTTCATTTTTTTCCCTAATACCCAGCCAGAACTTCCTCTCTCTCAGCTGGTGGCTGTTGGCCCCTCGGAGTCCCACGGTGCCTCTTGGCCAAGCGCCCAGCCGTGCCTCCTCCGTGCCCTCCCTGGAGATCCCGGGGGCTGCTGTTTGGTCCCCTGGGACGAAGGCTGCACTCCCTGTTTGGGTCGCCCGCAAACTTGCTGGGAGTGCAGGCCTATGGGCAGCACACCCGTGCCTGGGCAAGCACGTTCCTGCCCCGTGCCCTCCTAGCACATCCTGTTCTCCTCATCGAGATGGTCTTCGTGGGACGATCCGTGTCCATCTGCTGCTGCAGCTATGCCCAGCTGCGCAGCCACGGCACGTCACTGCTCCACGTAGCGGCCTCCCTCGCACCTGCTTATCTGGGAAGAAACCAAGCATTTGCTGAAAACAGCCCTACCTTTTCCTCATGTCGAAAAGCAGAACACCTCGCTGGCACCAACTAATTTCTCAGTTAAAGACCAAAGAATTTAACACTTGCAGAACAGAGTTCAGGCCAGGCAGAGCTGCTCAGTGCTTCTGAAGGAACAGAATAAAAGTGTTCTGGCTTTGCAACCAGCTGGGTCAGAATCCTTAAAAGTCAAATGTGTTTATATTTAAGTTTTCTTTCCATAATATAATCTATGAAATTTTTAGAATAACAGATAACGAAATATGTACTTTACTATAGTTTGGAAGAGAATGAGTCCTAGCTGCGTAATTGCTGTCAAACTCTCGTTTCATACAGCGTTTTGTCTCGCAGCTGCCTGGTTACAGCTTGCTGGTCAGTGACCTGCTTCTCATTCCTTTTTTCTAACAGCACTGAACACTCCCAGGGCCTGAAAAGCTTCAGGTAACCAGCAACCAGCTGTACAGATGTGGAGTTAAACTCAGCAGTCCTCTTGCTCAGGGTTAATATGCACAGTGATAAACGATTCTGTTCTCAGTCTCATCACCTACTGATCAACTCATGGCAGCAGGAACGCAGACTGCCAAGGAATGAAAATTTTGCTAATGATAAAAATGATTAAATGGAGCATTAAAAGGAAAAAGGAAGTTCCATTTATTTCAGCAGGTTAAATTGAAGGTGATGCAGGAGCAGACAGCAGCAAAGGTCATTAAATGAAAGTGGTGAAGTCATTTTGCAGGTTTACCTCTTTTCTAGGGCATTTTACCAGGTGATCATAACACGAGACAGTGACAAATGCGTTCCAGCTGAGATAAGGTATGTGGGTCATGCTGACTGTGCAACATTAGAAACCAGTACTGGGGATAACACAGCTTCTCTGTGAGGTAATTTACCTTCTTTGGACAAAAAGATAAATGTGAATCAACAAGGAAGAGTCTGAAACATCCGAGCTGTGCTATTGATCTACTAAAGACCTAGATAAGTCACAGAGAAACGAATGCTTGCTTTGCTTGAGATTAGTGATGGATGGGACAGCAGATTTAGCAGCTAAGGGGCTATCACTGTCAAGAAAAGCTTAGCACTTTCTTTTTTTTTTTTTTAATTATCCTGCAGTAGTAGG